ACACTGGTCTGTCTGACATGAGGTGGAAGAGGATGGGGCTTTTCAGAATACTTATTTCAACACTGCATGGTGTTATATAACTGTCCAGTGTTGAGACAACACTGAGGAAATCATCAATCAGTCAGTCGGAGGCTTCTTCAACTTTGCTGTAATACAGACCGCTACAGAAGATCTTTCCTGCCCACAGCCATCAGCATCTACAATAATTCTTTAGTTAAATGAGTTACAACAACACCTAATTTCCCTCTGGGAATCAATGAAGTATTTTGGAATTTGAATTYAATTGAATTGTTATTCACCTAATTATAATAAAGAACGAAATTAAACAGCATCTTGCAACAATGTAGAGGCTTAGTATGATCTGTTGTAGTGAGATTTTTGCTTTAAAAGTCTGAAAAACAATTACAAAGTAGCCCTTGTTTGGCCAGTCTTTGGGCTAATCTGATGGATTTCTGCTCTTTTTTCCCTCTCTTTTCTGTGCCTTTTTACTGTTGGACAGAATCACTTCAAACATGACCAGATTACCAKCTTTAACAACAAATACCAACACTGTAGACTAACAGAATTTAGGTTTCAAACACAAATCTATAAACTCTAAATGTGATCCATCACACCAAACTGTGGATTAAATCAGGATAAAATAAAACCCGTTTTCACATTTGGATATGTGGCTCATTCTGATATTTTGGTCAAAGTAACAAGAAATTGATGATTTCTGTTCAAAAACATGTTTTTTTTAATGGTTCAGAAAAGTGTTTCAAAACATTGTTTAGGATTAGATTTTGGACATTTCCTTCCTGGTGCTAATGTTTGTATTAATGCACAATAACTGCATAGTTTCTCGTTATTTGTTGATTTAATCCTCAGTTGGATGTGACGGGTCACAGATATTGTGTTTGGAACCAGATAGTTATAAATATCTATTAAGAGTCATGCAAGAAAACACATCATTCAAAGTTCTTTGAATCCAGTCATTTTTTTAAGTTGTCAAATCAAACAACTAAATTAAGCTAAAAATAAAAAAAACTTTAAAATCAGAACCATTACCAGTAAATTGTTTTATATATAAATACTTTATATGTATTTAAATTTAAAAACGGCCTTCTGCTGTGGACCCGCCCCACATTCAAATCCTGTTTCTCTTCAAATGATTGAATCAACTTTCAACTACAGCAGCTGAGATAAATGGAACCTTGAAGTCGTAAGTTATTTTCATTTGAGTTTAATTTCAGATAAAAAAAGCAACAAAAAAGAAAAAGAAAACTCTTTTTTACAACCTGCTAACAGTGACTCTTGTACAACAACATAAATACTGTGCTGGGGGGAGAAAAAATCATTTCCCCCAAAATTAAGCTTTTTTTTTTCCCTCCAGTCGTTCTCTGTAAACATAAAAAATGCAAACCATGTCTCCTAAGTTCTCAACAAGACAACATCAAAATAACAACTGTGAGGCTCAGCCTCGTGGCTCTGCAGAGAGTCTCTAACATCCTGCTGCTTCCTTCTTTCACCTAATCTGCTCAAAGTCTGAAGGTGTTAACAGTGCTCTGTTTTAGATCCAAAAGAGGGCCGGGTGTGTGTGTGTGTGTGTGTGTGTGTGTGTGTGTGTGTGTG